TGGCAGGCATTCTTGAAGAGGTGGTCCACCAGGAGCCAGATCTCCTTGGGTATGTGCAAAGGTCGGTCACTAGAGTCTTCATCCTGAGGCACCATCTTCAGAAGAGACTTCTCCTGATGGAAAAGCGAAGGGGTTGGGCATCAGAACCTCCGAATGCTTGGAAGGGCCTATTTTATGTCCCCACCACCACCACCACCACTGAAAGGTCAACCGGCTGCCTCTTTGCTTTGTAGCACCCCTGAGAGCACACATGAGACCGACCTCCCTTACTGCAAAAATCTACATTTTCTTCACAGTCTCGGCTGGGCTGATTAAAACCTCTCAGTGGAATGGCAGAAGGTGGAGAGCGAATCGTTCTTTTTTTTAGTAGCAGCACAGGGATGACTTCTCCCATCTGAAATTGGCCTGCTCAAAGTGGAAGGCCTTGTTGTGGCTCCGTCTTGTGAGCCCCTCTTATCGGAGGAAGAAGGCTCCGAACATGAAGGAGAGGAGATGGCCAGGCCTCCCTCTCCAGAACCCTCCTCTTTGGCAATGCCTCAGGTGTCTCCCGACGAGAAGAGATTGACCAGGAGCCAGGTGTTTCTGAGATTGGCCAGGAGCCAGGTGTTTCGGATAGTGAGGAAGAGAAGTTGTGGCTGGATCCACGCCAGCGTAGGAGCGACAAGCATGCGCAGCAGAAAAGGAGACGTGCCAGAGATTAAGCTGAGTCACTGGACCACACCCCACAGGCTATAAAAGGGAGGTGGTGGCCATTTGGGCTCTGTGACGGACAAAGCTGAATCTCTGGCGAAGTAGTTTGCTGTGGACTTAATTTGCTAACTGTGTGTATTGTTTTTTGTTCTCTGAGTAAAAGTCCTGGCAGGCAGCTACGGAGCTGCTGCCAAGTTTTCTTATCTGTGGATTGGAGTGTGGAGAAGTTCTTTAACCCTCGGCTGGCTGTTTGGGTGTGTGTGTCCGACAGAGACAGAACAGGCCTGAAAGGACCTGTGGTGGATCGGAGGAGGAGGGAAAACAAACAAACAAACCCACAAGCTCATTTCAGATCAGTCCCGAACAAAAACTGTTCGGCGGTTGCCCCAGCGCTTCCAACAATGAGCAAGACGGGTTCCTTCGTTTGGTTTGTAGATTCATCTAAACGGGCTTCGGACTAAAGCTTCTCTGGTTGTTTTACAAATGCCACTCTTGATTCCTGAGCAAAATGGCAAGCGTGGCTACGGCTCCAACAGGAGGAAAAAAAAGAGAGCAAGACAGACATCCATTTGCTTATTCTGGCAACGGCCGGTATTTGCCTTCCACGGCAGAAATTTCTGCAAGGACGGGCAATGTAGGAACCCTACTGTGCTTCTGCTGGTTGCCATTGATCACACCCGATTCTTGATTAGTCCCATCAATAATCAAATCATTTGATTACACCCCTTTTCCAGGCAGAGCGTGATCAAGGAAGGTGTCCTCCCTTGTGCTAAAGCCACTGAACTGGAAGGAACATTTGGGGCCATGAAGTCCAGCTGTCTTCTCCACCAACCACCCTTTGCAGATGGCCATCAACCTTCTACCTCGTTGGGCTTCACGGCTAGCATCGCTATATGCTGTAGGACCTTTTGAGTCTAGAAATAGTTATGGATTAAGGTGGCCAGGTATCACAATCTCTCCTTTCCCCTTTCCAGCCACTAATCATCTTCGCTGCACTTCTTTCGTTTGCTTCCAGTTTATCTGAATTCTTATGAAAATCTAGAACTGGACTCCGAAATCAAGGTGAGATCGAACCACAGTAGAGTTGCTACGTTCTGCGGTCTGGAAGGTATTCATTCTGATAAAAGAGTTTAAAACTTGTCTTTTTCAAAACATCCACACCACACCGCTAACACAGATCCCTTTTAGGATCTGTGTCACTAGATCCCTTGTGCCTCTATCACAGGTAGTCCTCGACTTAACAGCAGTTCATTTGGTGACCGTTCAAAGTTTACAACGGCACTGGAAAAAAGTGACGGGTGACTGTTGTTGACAGTTACGACCTCTGCAGCATTCTCCAGGGTCACGTGATCAGAATTCGGACGCTTGGCGACTGGCTCGTATTTATGACGGTTGCTGCGTCCTGGGGGTCACGCGATCCCCCTTTGAGAGCTTCTGACGAGCAACGTCAATGGGTGAAGCCGGATTCACTTAACAACTGGGTTACTAACTGAACATCTGCAGGGATTCGCTTAACAGCCGTGGCAACAACAGCCGTAAAACGGGGCAAAGCTCAAGTTAACAAAATGTCTCGCTGAGCAACAGAAATTGTGGGCTCAATTACGGCCGTTAAGTCGAGGACCACAGGTACGATTCCAACCTCCTTCGCAGACACCGCCACCGAGCTGTGCGTTCCCCATCCCATAAGCCCGATTCAGACTGCTTCACACACACACACACACACCCCAAGTGAAAAATGTTGCATTTCTCTCCGCTCGGTGCCCCCTCTGTCCCGTGTCATCCCCCCTCCGGCTACCAAGAGAACTGCAGGTGCTTCCCGGCCCTTTACCTGTTCTAGGCAGCCGTCGTCTCCCTGAGAACACACGGAGGAGGCAAGAGGCGAAAGGAAGAAGAAGAAGAAAAAAAAAGAAGAAAAGACACAAAAATGTGTTACTGGCACGAGTCCAAAGCAGAGAAAGGAGCCACCATCCACGGGGAAGTCAGAAGCCAGATGGTGGGGGAAATGCCTGCGATAAAAGCAAATGCGCGAAGGGAAGCTTGGGTTAAAGGGCAGATGGAAACAGAAGATCTGCTGATTCAGTGAGGAGGAACCGGCAGGATTTGGACAGCGCACAGGAAAAGCCAGCGCAAAGCTGCAGGTGGCGATTGGGAGGGCTCAAGTCCCTCGGCGCAAGGAGGCTCAAGCAGGCAAGCGAGGAAGTGAGAGGCTCCATGAGCTCAGCTGCCATCCAAATCCCAGGAGGCCCCCTCAGCTTCCTACCAGATCGATGAGCTTCGTGACGGGGACTTCACGGATGGGCTGCCTCATCCGGCACAGGGCTTCCAAGGAGGTCCCAAAGCAGCTGACCAGGTAGTTGCCGCTGATGGTAAGGAAGTAATCCTTGCCCCGGTCCAGGTGGAGGACCAGGATCTCCTCGATCTTGTCCTCCCGCGAATTGAGGAGGGTCACCGAGTCCTTGCTGACGTAGACGTCCAAGGAGATGTCCACCGTCTCGTCTGCGGGAGAAGGGGAGACCACGAAAGCTTCAAGACTGAATCTTTAAGGTGGACTCAGCTCCTCAGCTCCCTACCACGAAGAGGCATGGGGGGAGGGGGGGGAAGGGAATAGGACTTCCATGTGTTTCTCCAGACTCACTTGGTTCCAAATAACCTTCGCAGGGCTCAGCACGAAGCCATGGTTTACAGTACTGCGTGTCGTTCAGCTTGGGGATAAAGGAGAAGTGGCAGGGGACTTGACCGTTGTTTGTGATCTGGAATTTCTCCTTCTGAAGCTGCCGAAACTTTACATTCTCAAAGGAGAACTGTGGGCACAAAGTAGAAGTAGAAGTAGAAGTAGAAGAAGAAGAGGAGGAGGAGGAGGAGGAGGGTGGGCACAAAGTAGAAGTAGAAGAAGAAGAGGAGGAAGAAGAAGAAGAAGAAGAAGAAGAAGAAGAAGAAGAGGAGGAGGAGGAGGAGGAGGAGGAGGAAGAAGAAGAAGAAGAAGAAGAAGAAGAAGAAGAAGAAGAAGAAGAAGAAGAAGAAGAAGAAGGACGAAGGACGAAGGAAGAAGAAGAAAGAAGAAGAAGAAGAAAGAAGAAGAAAAAAAAACCTGAATATTTTTCAGCAGAAAAGGGAACCTGCTCCCAACACCAGAATTGGCTTCTACTTTTAAAGTTTTCACAAGAAGGATCCGTGGATCACACAACCACTTCAGGAATTTGCCTTCTTCTGAAGAATCTGGGTCTTTCTGGAGCTGGTTTACTTTGGGGCAGATGTGTTGGAATCAATTCCCAAGGTCATGCAGGTTAAGAGGTTGGTGGGAGTGGAAGTCCAATACATCTGGAAGACAGCCAAGATGGGCTTCCCGTGGTTGAAGAACTTTCCCCTTCAGGAAGGAAATTTTTTTTCTCTCTCTTACCTCTCTCCTGCTCAGCTCCACCGACGGAAGGAAGTCGTTTTCCATCCTGTCCATCATCCGAACAATGTCCTCAAATATTTTCCGGTACCGTCTGTCATCTACAACTTTCACCTTTGGGAAAAACCAGATCGCGTATTTGAAGAAAGGACTCTAAAAGGAGCGGAGATACCTTACTTGACCAACATCTGGACAACTTCCAGAGACTGGAGCCAGCAGCGTGACAACCTGGCCTTGTAGAAAAGGAACAAGGCTGTTTCCAGGAAGGCTCTGCTGACCCTAAAACCCAACTAGCTTCAAGCAGGGACCACGTGTCAGAAACGGAATGGAATTACCCCTATGAGGAAGAGGGAGCTGACGGGCTTGTGGTCGCTGGTTTTTAGCTCCATGTGGCTGCGGTATTGGAGCTGGTTGATGTTGCCTCCTCGCCAGAGAATCCGGTCACACCAAGCGGGCACACGACATTTTCCACTGGAAGGAGATAGGATTGAGATCAGGGATACTCTGGAAGCCTGCAGGATGCTCACCACGTTTTACCCCCCTCCAGGATCTCCGGGCCAAACAAATTTCAATTCATGAGATCCATCCTTCTGTATGGGAATCTATCCTCCCATTTTTTTTT